AAAGTTCAAACTTTAAAAAGTTAAAAGGTAACACATATATAGAAAAGTGAGGGGCCAGGGATTTAGCTCAGTGGTTTCGTCGCCTGCTGTGCAAGCGCGAGGTCCCAAGTTCGATCCCCAGTAAAAAAAAAAAAAAAAAGAAAAGTGAACCAGTTACTCTTTTACAGCTTGGTGAATTAGCAGTTAACACATCTACACAATCACTTCTCAAATTAAGAAACAGAACACTATAAACTCCCTAGCAGCCCTCTCAAATACCTCTTCCCAATCACTACTCCCTTCCTTTCCACAAAAGGTAATGCTTATTCTGATTTCTAATACTGTGGTTTGAGTTTTGCCTGTTTTTGCACCTTATATGATGTAATCATACAGTATGTTTTCTTTTATCAAGCCTCTTTGCTCAACATGATTGTAAGATTCAACTCTGCCTAAAATGCTTGACTATAGCCCATTTTTATTGTTGTTTAGCATTAATCTGTATTACTATTCCATAATTAACTATATCACTATTGACGGAAATTTGGATTGCTCCCTTTTTCTGACTATATAAACAATACTGCTTTGATAATTCTGTGTTCTCAATGCACATGTATAGGCATTTCTGTTAGGCAGAAGAACTGTTTGGTTACTGGAAATACTTTTATACAATTTTTTTTTAAAAAGGGACTCATCAAAACATAATATTCACTTTATCTGGAAGCCAATTTACTTATTTTTAGACAGTTGTAGTTGACTGCTTTTCATATGCCCCCTTATCAATATTTTTAGTAATAATCAATTCTCAGCCCTGTTCTCTACACCCACAGCTGAAGACTCAGATCATAAGGAAATATATCTTTTTATTCAACAAATATTAACTGATTCTCTGCTAGGCAGAATTTGCGTAATTCCACATACTTAATTATGGGTAGAATCTGTGATGATAACGAGTTATAATTCCTATGATGATGCTACTTAACTTGGCTAAGGAATTCTGTAGATATAATTAAAGTTACTAATCCTCATTTTGATTAACTCAAAATGGAGATTATCTGCGTGGGTCAGATCAAATCACCGAAGCCCTTCTATCTGGGTTACAGGGTAGAAACAGGAAACGTGGGATTAGAAATCAGACAGATGTGCTCCTGATGGTCAGAAAAAAAGCAAATAGCATTGTTATGAATTGCACATGGGGGTGACACTACTGAAGAAGCCTTTAGGAAATGAATTATCCCAGTTCACAGCTACCAAGAGAATGGAGATCTAAGTCCTATAGCTGCAAAGACCTGAATTCTGCCCACAATATTAGGTTTGCCACACTGTGCCCAGACTTCTGACGTACAGCATGGCAAGTTAATAAATCTTTTTTTGTGTGTGTGGTACTGGGGATCGAACTCCGGACCTTGTGCTTGCAAGGTGATCAAACTCGGGACCTTGTGCTTGCGAGACAGGTGGCAGCACCACTGAGCTAAATCCCCGGCCCTAAATGAGTGTTGTTTTAAGCCAGTAAGTTTGAGGAAATTTGTTAGAGAGCACTGAAAAACTAATATAGCCTCTTATATGCCAGAAACTGGTCTAGGCACTGGGGGTATAGTAGTGAATAAACCAAGACAAAAACACCTTCCCTCATGATGCCTTTATTGTACTGGGGGAGAGAGACAAAGACAAAGACACACAAGTAAAATATATGTTAGATAATGACACAAACTAAGGAAGAGAAACAGCAGGAAAGAAAGAAGGTAAGGGTCAGAATAGAAGGTTAGAACTTCACATATACTTTCTTTTTCTTTTTTCCAGTACCAGGGATTGAACTCAAGACCTTGCACTTGTGAGGCATGCGTGGCGCCACTGAGCTAAATTCCCGGGCCCTTAGAACTTCAGAATAGCAAGAAAATGCCTATCTGAGCAAATGGTCTTTATTTTATTCTCTCGTCCTGGGCACTGAAGCCAGGGAATTGTATGTGTTAAGCACATACTCAACCACTGAGTTATGCCCCCAGCACAGATTATATATAGGGTTTTATAGGACTGACATAAACTAACTTCCATTTTGAAAGGATCACTCTGGCTAATGTGTTTAGAGCTGAAAGGACTGGCTGACAAATGAGATGTGGAGTGTGAGAGAATAAAAAATACACCTTAGAAGGGGACATAAAAAGAACTAAGAGGTGTTATGTATATGTACCAATTCTCCACAATGAATGTAACTATTATGTACTGCAAATATATACTAATAAAAATAAAGAGCCGGGGATTTAGCTCGGTGGTTCCGCAGCCTGCCTTGCAAGCACAAGGTCCCAAGTTTGATCCCCAGTACCGGAAAAAAAAAAAAGAAAGAAAGAAAGAAAGAAAATACACCTGGGGTCAGGGATTTAGCTCAGTGGTTCTTCCGCCTGCCTCACAAGCTTGTACAAAGTTCAATCCCCGGTACCAAAAAAAAAAGTGTACCATTGCTGCTACAGCCCCAGACAGGCTTATCTGTCCTCAACCCTTGTCGCAACCTGTGCCACTGCCCAGCCTGGTCAGTGCTGGTATGCATATATCCCATGATCTCCTACTACTTCCTGCACTGGGCCATGCACCCCAACTGCACACCCAACATCCGGATGCTGCATACTTATGCCAGACTAATGCCACTGGCATGGTGCAGTAGCTATTGCTTTACATAGCTAGCTTTCTCTGTATGCTGCCTGAATGATACGACTGCTCACCTGCCTAGACATGACTGTGGAAGTAGTGAGGTGCCAGAAGCCATTTCCAAAGGAGCTAATTCTTTATTAAAACAAATTTGAATCATACCCTCACAATTCAATAAAATAACAACTGAAACCTTTGCTTCTCTCTCTGATTTATACCAAATTTTGTTTGGAAAGTACATTAGAAGGAAAGGATAGGTTGCAGTCTATCATAGCAAATGCTCTTGGCTCTCTAGACTTTTTCTTCAGAAAATCATTTATCCACTAGAGGAAAATAATAGTAAAGAAATCCAGAAAGGGAAGCAAATCAATCTCTCTCTCCCTCCCTCCCTCCCAGGGATTGAACATGAACCCAAGGAGCTCTACCAGTAAGCTACAACTCCAGCGCTTTTTACTTTTTTTAGGATTCACTAAATTGTCCAGCCTGGCCTTGAACTTGTGGTCCTTCTGCCTCAGCCTAATTATCTGAGATTACACCTAGGCAAAAACTATTTTCTTTATAGTATCCACATGCACATTCAAAATTCTAATAAAAAACTAGAATGTTACAGCTGTAAGAGACCTTAGGGAACTTTGAGCAGTCTAAGAAAAACAGGCATGAAAGAAAACTCGAGAACAAAAATCTGGGTTTTGAATATTTCTAAAGAAAATTCTAGAGCAAATGGAAGAGAAGCAGTATTTAGAGAATAGTTTTCTTGAACTGAAGAAAAGGAAGTCTTCAAATAAAAAGGTTTTATCATGGTAAAGGCAAAATTAACAAAAAGTGTGACTACCTAGATGTAAATTAGTGAAACCAAGACTTCCAAAACCAAAACTGCTACAAAATTTCAGGAAGAAAATTAAAGATTCCCGCAAAGTTAGGTTTCTTATGAGTATCAGAGTGTAACAAAATATGATGGAGCAGCATATATAATGTGTAAAAGGGCAAAGACTGTGACACCATAATTCCATCATGCAGGAAAGCCACAGAAGTAATTGTCACTTATAAAATGGCTCTGAAGAATTCTATTTTCTCTGAAAAAAATTTAGTCAGAGATGCCCTATGGATGACTGAAAAATTAATAATAATAAAACCTTTTGAAGAGAAATGTATGTTATAAAGTTCTAATGATGAGTATGGAAATTAATTAAATGCAGAGTCAGTGTGAATAATAATAATGATTATTATTTTTCTATTTGGTACCAGGGATCAAACTCAGGACCTTGCATTTTCAAGGCATGCATAACGCCACTGAGCTAAATCCCCGGCCCGTTAATTATTATCAACATGGTTGAAAATCATTGCAAAAGTTTAATTCAAATGTTGATCTATTTTGTAAAAAGAATTATTTCAATAAAACTAATATGGTTCAACAAAATAAGCAACTAACAAGGAGGGGGCCTTTTTAGTGAAAAACACATAAAATCCAAGTATATAACAAACTAAATTCTCCTCAGTTTTTAGTCCACCAAGCCTTTTTTATTTTTTTGGTACTGGGAATCAAACTCAGGACCTCACACTTGCCAGGAAGGCACTGCATAGCTGGGCTACATCCCAGCCCCACCAATCCTTTCTACGGAAAGATAAAGTCTGAAAAAGAGGCTTGGTATAATCTGTGGGTTTACATTTTCCCTATGACACAGGAAGGAAGAACAGCATTTGGTACATCACAAGAAACTTTTGATCACTTGCCATAAGGAACTAAGGGGGTGCCAGTCTTGGAGACTACTTACGCTTTACAAATAATGGAGTGCTGAACCTCAAACTCCAAATTAGTAATAACAGGGCAAGTGTATACTCTGGTAGCTGAAATATCTGGTGAATTTTCTTCTCCAGGAATAGCTTCAGTCTTCCAAGTTTTATTTAATTTTTCCATATCCTCTTTCAGTTGGTCTAAACACTGACTTAAAAATTCATGAGCATCCTAGGAAGATAATATCTATCATCAGATCAAAACATTTCCTGTCATCGTAATAACATTAACAAAGTAATTTATGTATTTAAAGCACTTGGAAGTCAGAGAGATAAATCTGTGAGCAAGGTCAGATTTATTCTAAAAAGCATTTTGGGGTACACAGTTTGTGACTAAAAACATGACAGCCAGGTGTGGCTGCATATGCCTGTAATCCCAGCACTCAGGAGGCTGAGGCAGGAGGATCACCATGAGTTCGAGACCAGCCTGGGCTGCATAGGAAGACCCTGTCTCAAAAAGCAAAAAACCTCCAGCCTCCCCTCAAAAAGCAAATGCCAAGGAGGAGGGGTATATATATATGACAAGCTCAGTGGTAAAGTACTTGCATAGCTTGGGCAAGGCACTGGGTTTGATACTCAGCATCACAACAGCAAACAAAACCCAAAAAAACTAAGTAAAAACAAATGACAGAGTTCATATTCTTAGATATTTAAGGGTATTAGCCTGAGTGAATTAATGATTCTTCACTTTGCTAAAAATGTTATCTGTCACTGGCAAACGATACCTGTATATTATGATAAAATACACAGAAGAGTCATACTAAAACCTACCATAACTCCTCAAGGTTTTGAATCCATGATGACCACACTACCCAGATCGTATTTTAAAACAAAAATCTGGTTACACATTAAAATTATTTCAATTTTCCCTATCTCTAAAACAATTAGTAACAATTAGTACTCACATTCTGCATATAACCAGAGAATCTCTCTGCTGTAGCTGAAATGGCATTTTTAACCTTCTTGAGTAAATCTTTCTTGGTCTCTGAATTACAGATATCTTTTTTAACAAGCAAGTGGGCAAAACGCCTGGTAAAACAAAAGGAACAAGGTCAGCATATTTCACAAAACACTGAATAGCATGATATTTTAAAGACTACTAACAATGGCTCAATTTTAAGTGTTTAAAATCCCATTATTCTATAATCAACGTACTAAATGGTTACTGAGTAAGGGCATAACAATTACCTGATAAGTGCATTAAGTGGAATTTTCTTCCATGGGATACCTTGTTTAAGTAAGTCATTTGCAAATGACTGGAGTGAAAACAGAGACTGTAAAATAGCATTCATATAGCATGTATTTCCCAAATTGGAGAATCTGAAAATGAAAGAAATGGTGCATGAAGTATGCTTAGTATAGCAGAGGTAGTTCTGAATTACATTCAGCACAGCAACATAAAGGAGTTCTCTACTTTGGCTTGCATCAGAATCACCTGGAAGGCTTCTTAAACCACATATTAATGAACCCCAACCCAGAGTTTCTGACTCAGGTCTGGACAGAGAGAGTACAAAAATGAACATTTCTTTTGTTTTTGTATCGGGGATCGAACTCAGGACCTTGTGCTTGCGAGGCAGGTGGCAGAACCACTGAGCTAAATCCCCAGCCAAAAATGAACATTTCTAACAAGTTATCAGATGATGGTGATGCTGCTAATTTGGAAAGATACACTTGAGAACCACTGCATTATAAGAAAACAATTAACTTAGTTTTATCTAATGGAAAATTAGGCATTACCTTTATTAGGCAGACCTTTATTTATAATATATGTAGCAAATATTTATTCTAATTTGCTTTTGTTTTTGGTCATATAACTCTAATTTTTATATAGTCAAATTTATCAATCTTTTATTGAACCTTGATTTTGATCCTGAACCTTAATCTTGAATTTACAAAGCTTTCCCTATTTCAAAGTTTTCTCCCCGGACTCACATAGAGTTTTCATATTTTAAACTTAGAAATCTAATTCACATGGAATTTATTTTTGTAAACAGACGAAAGAAGAATCTATAGCTTCTCCAGAATGGCTACAAAGTTATTCTAATGTTATTGATTAAAAAATCCTTTTTTATTCCTCTAGAGGACTTTCTATTCTATTCCACTGACCTGTCTATGCATGGGTACAGCTTTTTTTTTGGTTTTGTTTTTTGAGTTGAGGTCTTGTTACATAGTCCAGGCTGGCCTTCAACTCAGTATGTAGCCCAGGATGGCCTCGAACTTGCAGTCATCCTCCTACCTCAGCCTCCTGACTGCTGGGATAAGAGGCATGTGCCACCACACCTGGCTGGGTACAGTTTTAATTGTAACAAATTCATAATTATTTTTAAGTGTTAGGAAGGGCTAGTCTCCCTTGTAGCTACTTCTACTCAGTATTTTCCTATTTCTGTGTTTGTTTTTCTATACGAATTTTTTGACATGAATATATGCTAGTCTAACTCTTTTTTTTTTGTACCAGGGATCAAACTCGGGTCCTTGTGCTTGCGCAGCAGGCGGCGAAGCCACTGAGCTAAATCCCCGGCTCCTATGCTAGTCTAATTTTATAGAAAAACCTTATATTTTTATTAGAATCATATTAAACTTACAACTTATTGTAGACAACTATATATAATATCTTGATTACACTCAGATGTCCTAAACAAGAATAATAGGTATTTTCTACATATTTAAGTTTAGTTTGTGTCCACTGGGAGTATTTTACAGTTTTTTTATCCAGCTATTTAAAAAATCTTGTTAAGTTACTCCTAAGTATTTTTGATGCTAAATTGGATTTTCCCTTCTGTCTTCAAACTGGCTACAGTATTCATGTTAATTTCTGATTCCATCTAACGAAGTGTTTTATTTTACCTATGTTTCTCATTGATCACTAGGGTTTCTAGGTCTTTCATTTCTAATTCCTATGCCCTACTTTTTTCTCATCTACGTGCATTGACTAATAACTGCAGTACAATGTTAAAATGAAGCAAAGGGCTGGAGATGTAGCACAGTGGTACAGCAGCTGCTTTGCTCAATCCCCAATACCAGAAAAAAAAAACCAAAACTAAACAGCCTCAAACACCAGAAAAACAAAACAATCCAATCAACTACAACAGAGGTAAAAAAAGTAGACATCCTTGACTTGTTCTTGATCTTAAGAAAAATACTAGGACTGGGGTATATATTTAGTCAAGTTAAGGAAGGATACATGGATTCCTATGTTCTGAAGCATTTTTAAAATCAGAAATGGGTACATTTTTGTCAAAAGGTTTTTTCAGGACCTGAGTAAAATAATAGAATTTTGCTCCTCAGACTTACTAATCCAGGAGATTATCTGAATAGATTTCCAAATACTGAACTATCCTTACAATCCTGGCACAAACATGTTAGGACAAAGCATATTATTATTTTTTAGAAGGGGTCTTGTTACATTGGCCAGGGTGGTCTTAAACTCCCGAGTCCAAGCAATCCTCCTGCCTCAGCTTCTCAAGTAGCTGGGTCTACAGGCACATGCCACCACAATGCTTGTTTATTTTCTTCATATGATACTGGATGGAGTCTGTTCACTAGGATTGTTTGGGGGTAATGTTCATAAATGATACTAGTTTATACTTCTTTTGTTTGAAATGGGTTTACTTACACTTGCTTCATTCAAAGTAATCAGTAAGGCTGGGGATTTAGCTCAGTGGTTTCATTGCCTGCTGCAGAAGCGCAAGTACCCAAGTTCGATCCCCAGTACCCCCCAAAAAAACAAAGTAGAAGTTTTCTTTAACTTTCTATACTCTGAAACAATTTACAATCTCTAAAAATCTCAAAGAATTTCCCTGTGAAATCACTTGGGCCTTGTGCTCTTTTGTGTGGGAACTCCCTGCTAAATTTTCTATGGAAAATGGTCTGAATTTTCTACCTCTATGGGATAAACCTGAGTAAACTGTACTTCATTTATGTGTTGAAATGCTTTTGGGCAAATACAAAATAGTGTCAAATGATTTTTTTTTTTTTTTTGGTACTGGGGATTGAACTTGGGACCTTGTGCTTGCGAGGCAGGCGGCAGAATCACTGACCTAAATCCCCGGCCCTCCTTGTCTTTTTTTAAAAAGAGGTAGAAAGGGGGCCGGGGATTTAGCTCAGTGGTTCCACCACCTGCCTTGGTGAGCACAAGGTCCCGAGTTCGATCTCCAGTACCAAACACCAAAACAAACAAACAAAGAGGTAGAAAGGTTTATTTTGGCTCAATTTCTTTTACTGTATATTTGTGCCTCCTTCTTCCTGGGTTGAATAAAAATCTAGTGATTTATCTATTTTGTTAATTTTTTTACGTAACCAGTACAGATGCTCCTTGACTTACAATGGGATTGTTATATCTCAATAAACCCACTGTAAATTGCAAATATCGTAAGTAAAAAATGTACTGAATATAAATACACCTAATTTATCAAAATATCATAGCTCAGCAATCAAGTAAACTGTAGAGTGTCTGCTTTTTATTCTTGGATTACATGGGTGACTGCGAGTTGTGGCTTGCTGCCCAAGCATCCTGAGAGAATGTGTTACCATATATTACTAGTTTGGGAAAAGAACAAAATTCAAAATTGGTAATGTAATTTCTATTGAATGTGTATTATTTCTGCACCATTGAAAAGTCAAAATATCTTAAATTGAACCATTATAAGTTATGGACCATTTGGACTTTGACTTGTTAATATAAGCCATTATTTTTCAGTTTTCTACTTCATGCAATTCTCTTTTATCTTTATTACTTCCTTACACTTTATTTTGATTTACTTTGTCATTCTTTTCATTTGAAGTTTCGAATTATTTTCATTCCTCTGTATTGATATAGATGTTTAAGACTATTATTTTCTATAGCTTAGAACTATATAATTATATATATATACTTTTATATGTATTTCTGTTAATTTTTCTGATCACTGCCCTTAAATATATTGCACATATTGTTATCAATATTTCATCATTCATCTTTTAGAACATCTGTAATTTGTATTCACTCAGTAGTCACTGAACAGGGTTTTCAGAGTTCCTAGGTAGAAGGTAACTATTTTATTTTATTTTTTATTTTATTTTATTTTTTGGTACCGGGGATCGAACTCGGGTCCTTGCGCTTGCACAGCAGGTGGCAAAACCACTGAGCTAAATCCCTGACCCTAGTTTTAATTTTAATTCACTTCATGAAACAATATATTTTCTTTCTTTTTTTTTTTTTTTTTTGAGATAGGGCAGTTCAGGCTGGCCTTCAACTCATGATGATCCTCCTGCTTCAGCCTCCCAAGTCCTGGGATTACAGGCCTGTGCCACCACACCCAGCTCTAGATTGTCTGTTTTATTTATTTATTCATACATTCATACTCTTTTTTTGGTACTGGGGATCGAACTTCGGATCCAACTAGGGATCTTGTGCTTGCAAGGCAGGCGGCAGAACCTCTGAGCTAAATCCCTGGCCCCATTCATTTTTTTTGGTACTGGGATCAACTCAGGACCTTGCACTTGGCAAGGCAGGCACTGTGCCACTGAGCTAAATCCCCAGCCCTAAATTGTCCATTTTAAATGACATCCTTTGACTTACACCTATTACTTATGAAACAATTACCTTTTCTACTTCCGCCTCTAGTTGTACTCTTACTGCCGTATCAGAAGACATGGTATTTATATGCAGTTCTCTATGTGTTCCCACCCATTTGTCTTAGCTCTGTAACTGAATATAGGAAATGTTCACCATCTTGTCAATGCTATCCCACCATGTCTTGGACAGATGACACTCATCTGTCCTCTGGAAGTTCCTGGGGTCAATCCCCAGTATCCAAAACAACAACAGCAACAGCAACTCACTCAGCTGGTAGGTCTGGGAGGCCAATTTGGTAAGCATAATCAAAAATTTCCAGCCGGGGATTTAGCTCAGTGGTTCTGGCGCCTGCCTCACAAGCTGAGGACCTGAGTTCGATCCCCAGTACCAAAAAAAAAAAAAAAAAAAAAATTAAAAAAAAAAAATTTCCAAGTGCCTTCCTTAGTCTTAATAATTCTACTCCTAAGAATTTACACTATAGAACCATTCCATCAAGTACAGTATTAAAAACATACATATATGTGTATAAAAATATTCATTCTAGCCTAGATTGTAAGTAGAAAAAAGAGAAACTTAAATGCATGCTAATACGGTTCAAAATTCTATATTAATATATATAAGGATTTCCAAGGGTTAATGTGCAGTGAAAAAGTCAGAGAATAGAAATGCAATATTATCAGAGTGGTGAAGAATGCAAATAGAGTCCAACTGCCTGAATTTACTGTTGCCATCATACTGACTATATCACTTTTTTTTTCCTTTGGTTTTTTTTGAGACAAGGTCTCGCTATGTAGTTCAGGTTGGCCTCAAACTCATGACATAGCCCAGGCTGGCTTCAAACACAGCAATCCTCCTGCCTCAGGCTCCTGAGTACTGGGATGACAGGGGTGCACCACCATGCCTGGGTTGACTATATCGCTTTGAGCAAGCTAATTAACTTCATTAAACTTTAGTTACTTACCCATAAAAGCAGATTTTTAATATACATGTATCAATAGGATTGTTGCAAGAGTTAAAAAAAAAAAAATCTATGAAAAACATTTAACACACAAGCTCAGTGGTTTCGCCGCCTGCTGTGCCAGCTCAAGAACCTGAGTTCAATCCCCGGTACCAAAAAAACAAAGCAAAAGAAAAACATTTAACACACAGTATCTTGTATATACATTTTGGGTATGATAGCTACTATTATATTACAGTTATTAAACTATGATCTCATTTTTGTGTTTATTAAGAAGAATATAATCATAAAAGCAATAGGGAGGATAACAAATTTAATTTTGAAAGTACCTCAGGAGTATGACTTCATCTATAGATTGAAGAACACTTTACTCCTTTAAAATGAGTATTATATGTATTTCCCCTTGTATCCCAAAGTTTAAAAATTGTTTAGAGATCAGATAATGAGCTTAACATTATTTATGGATTCAATAAATCTCTAATAAGTTATCTAATTTTTGGGAGAGAGGGTGAGACAGGGGTCTGTCTATGTATTTCAAGCTGGCCTCCAACTTGGGGCTATCCTCCTGCCTCTGCCTCCCAAGTGCTGGGATTACAGGCGTGCACCACCATGTCCAGCAAGTTATCTCATTTCTAAGTATTTTATAACTATAATTAATCTGACTTCTTTCTCCTTTCTTTCCTTCCTTTCTCTACCCCCGCCACCACTTCAACAAAGCTTAGGTCAGTTGAATCACTTTATAAAAAGAATGGAAAAGAATTGACCTACCCTTGTAGCTGCTGGTGTTGGTGAGATGAAAGGGGCACTCTTGGTTTGTTCCAGCCAGTGTAATCCTGGTTACACCTCAGTTTTTTAACAGAAAGAGGAATTGGCTGAGGAAGAAATCCCAAACTTCTTTTGGCAGAAGGAGTTTGGCTTGAAACATTATTCCTATAAAAAGAGTAAGAAATAAGGTAAGTTTTGAATGCTACTTTTTCTCCCTAAGTAGATTCATAGAAGTCAATGATCTGAGGAAAAAATTCTTTAATTTAGGAAAATATCTGTGGTAAGTCACTGGGAGAAAACTCACAAACGTAAATGAAGTCTGCTGACAGAGTGCTGAAGAAGCTTTAAGACTAAACTGCACATATTTAATCTATAACCAAAATAATCCAAGTGGACAAAAAAGGATAGTTTTGCTTTTTTTCTACTTACGAATATCACACATTAGTTTATCTAGTCTTGGCAGTCAACTTTTTCCATTACTACAAATAATACAACAAATAGTTTTTAACCCAATCTCTGGCAAAGTCCTCTAGTTTAATGTTTATAATTGAAAATATTGGGGGTATTTTTAATTTTCCTGGATATTTTGATTATTTTCCCAAAAGGCAGTATCAATTCATACTTGTACCAACAGTGAATTTTCATTCCCTCACATCTCTATTGGTTATTATTAAAAGTTTTACCTTTTATAGGATAGTGACATTTGATCTCATTGTTATTTTATTTTACATTTTCCTCATTACTACAGACACTGAACATACAAGTGGTGCCTTGCTTCATGAACTCAATTCTTTCCACAATTCTGGTCACAAACCAAACTGGACAAGAACTGAATCAAGTTTCCCCATAAGGTCAACAATGAACCTAACTAGAACCTAATTAATTAATTTGATTGGTTCTCATCCAACTCAGTATGTGACCAGAATCAGGGAAAGAATCAAGTTCCTGAACCAGGTACCACTGTATTTTTCTCATTGTTTACTCTTTTCTAAACTGTTTTTCTTTACCCTTAATTTTATTTATTTATTTTTTTTTTTAAATTATTTTTTTTTTACCCTTAATTTTACATAGGGTTCTTAATGATTTGGAGTTCTTTATATATGCTATATACTAACCCTTGGTCTAGTATATATCCTAAGTTTAAATTTTTTACATAGTCAAAATTTTTTTTAATGGTTTCAAATCTTTGTCATTTTAAAGAAATCATCCAGTACCATAAAGGTTACAGAAATGTTTTCCTGTATATTCTCTTAAATGGCTTAATATTTTTTGTCCTTCCTTTAATTCACCGGCAAGTTCATTTTGCTTTTATGTTTTGTTTTTTTTTAATTATTATTATTTTTTTGGTACCAGGGATCGAACTCGGGACCTTGTGCTGGTGAGGCAGGCATGGCACCACTGCCAGCACAAGGTACTGAGTATGATCCCCAGTACCAAAAAAAAAAAGAGAAAGAAAGAAAGAAAAAATTATAATTTACTTTCCTATATGGAAAACTAGTTGCCCTAAAATTACTTATTGTCTTAAGAGGTGATATATACATGTACCAACTCCCCATGATGAATGTATTCAATATGCATAATAAAAAATTTTACTTATTTTCTGGTCAGGCTATACAGTAGTTACTGTTTTTACTTAAAAAAAATTCTGAAATAGAATACTCATATGACAAATTATATAAAAACCAAATGTGGAACTTGATGAAGTTTTGTAAAGCAAACACATAGGCAATAACCATTAATAACTCACAAGTGCTCTTCAACAAAATTCCTCTAACCTAAATTTTATCATTAGCTATTTTTTTCATCCCTTACTACAAACTCTAAAAACTGCAGTTCAGACCATGCATGATATTCCTGTTTTCATCCTTCACCTTTCAACCTTTCAGCAATTCTATATTACAGCTGGTGCTTTTACATAGCATACAGATTTTTTTCTTCTTTCAAACTCAGTATCTTTCTCTTTAACTGGAATATTTAGTGTGCTGATGTAAATTAGCATATAAATTTTATACAAATATAGCATAATTATGTCAGTATTATCATTACTGATTTGGATTTATATATTGAATTTTATTATGTATTTGTTACTTGTTACATGTGTTCTCTGCTCCTTTTTCTTGTCTCTTTTTAGAATGCTTCACTAATATTGTCTCATTTTCTTCCCTCTGTTAGTTTGGAAGTAATAAATTCTTTTAGGAAATTTTAACTGGATGTCCCAAAAATTATATTACATGTTAAGAAGAAAAGCTTTATTGAAATGCAAATGACATAGAATAACTTCTACATAAAGTACATAATTTAGTAAATCTTGACATATGTATACCATCACCATAATTAAGATAACAAACATGTCCATCATCACCATAAGTACCCTGGTGGCCCTCTGTGTCCTTCCCTCTCACTCTTGTTTGTGTCCTTTCCTCTGAGCAAGCAACCACTGGTCTGTGTTTTGTCACTCTTGGTTACCTTGCATTTTCTAGAATTTCATATAAATGGAATCATATGTACCTTTTTTTATTAGTTATACAAAACACTAAAACTTTAAAACATTTAATTTTAAAATTTGCTTTTCAAATGCTCATTGATTTTTACTTCCTACTTCTTCAGTTTTCTTCTTGCTAAATAAATTCTTTGTCTCTAACTAAAGATAGCATTATCTGTCTACATTCCTGGATTCAAATTTAGATGGGTATAAAAGTTTGATGCTAGTATACAACCCGTTTCCCAGCACCATTTGTTAAAAGGACTATTTTTAACCCATTCAACAATCTATCCTTTTCTTTTAGCCTACTTTTATTTTAAGCAGGTTTCTTGTATGCATTAGTACTTGATTCTAGTGTGTGTTTTCTGTGTGCCTTATGATTTTAGGTTTTGTTCAATATTGGTTTTCTCACCAATCTGGAAATTTTCACAGTATCTTTGAAATAAAAATATTTTCCCCTCAAATATTCCTTTATACAATTAATATGTTCATTCTACTATTTTGTTAAGAAATTATATTTAATAAATCATTTGCAAACCAAATTTAGCTTTTTGGGTTTTTTTTTCAAAAACTTAGGTTTCCTGGATTGTGTTTTTCATTTTTGGTTTTGTGAGACAGGGTTTCACTATACATTCTAAGCTGGCCTAAGATTTTTCTAATGAGAGGAAATGTGTCAAGATTTCTTTTTCAAATTTAAATAACTTAGTTACCACTGTATTCATAAAGTGCTTGAGAGATAGGCTGAATACCTAACCACAACATCAAATTCATCTTAATCATTTTATACAAAGATGTGTTTACAACTCTGAATTAAATTATAATAAAAAGACAAAACGTGACAATATGTCATTATATGGTATACATATATCATACACTACCATTACCTTTGTTGCATTTTAAACCATCACCACTGTGGAATATATTCCATGATCACACTTTCTCAGTGAGTACTTAGCAGCTGCCTTATATATTTACATCCACTAAACCCTGAAAAAAAAACCCGCCAGCTATATCTATAATCAGCAATTAAATTTCTGACTGACTTTTTCCAATAAAAAGTACTCATACGAAGCTTTTTTTGTTTTTAAAGAAAACTCCTTAATTTTTGGAAGGTAGCTTAAGTACATAAGAAACAAAGACAATGTAAAAGTGTCTCACTGGCAAGATCTTAGCATGTTCACCACTAGAGAGGATAGAAACACAGTGGCCTAGAATCTAACACTGGGAGTCTCAACCAGTAGGCTCAGTACAAATCTTTCCAGACTTCAGTTTATTCATCTGTAGAAAAACTTTAAAACAGAACTAAAAAGTTTCTAGAGTGCTTTCTAACTAAAGTGTCATGATACTATGATTCTCAATTTTTGGGGGGAGTGGTACTGAGGTTGAACCCAGGGCCTCATGCATGCTAGGCAAGCACTGTAACACTCATTAGGGGTTTTTTTTTTGGTTTTTTTTGGTACCGAGGATCAAACTCGGGACCTTGTGCTTTTGAGGCAGGTGCCAGAACCACTGAGCTACATCCCCGGCCCACTCATTAGTTTTAATATTCTTAAATTAGAGTATTTTTAGAGCATAAGAATCATTCAATATTCTGAGACAGTGCTTTTTTTATGGTGCCAAAAGTTTATCTGAAAAGCGGAGGTGAGGGGGTAAGGGAGCAACTAGCTTTGCAGAGTGAACTTGGGCTGAACAAGAAAGGAAAAGAGAAAAGCAAAAATAATAGTACACCCTGGGTCCGGGAGTCTCAGGGTAGGCTACTGTGAAGAGTCATGGCAGCCTGAAAAAGAGAGCTCTTCAAATTTTTCACAAGGCATATGATTCTCACATACCTATCTAGGTTAGTGACACTAGAAGAGTAGTCCTTGGATCCAGCTCTGCTTCCATAAAATGACGATGACTGCAAAGGTAAAAGGCCTATAAAACAAAATTAAAAGAAAAAATGTATTATCTAGATTAATCATTCAACTTCATTTAATAATAAATTACACACTGGGCATGTTTACATTCAACTGTTTTCTCCTTTCCATCAAAGTAAAATATAATTATGTTAAAGAGATTAAGTACTGTGGAAAAAGTTACAAGAGTAAAGCACTATTCTCCTGCCCAAAATCTCTGCAAGTTTTGCTTCAACTTTCTAACCATTTTTAAAAACTTAGTTTTTCTGACTTCTTCCATAGAGCTAGACTATATTTCTACTATTTCTTGATTTATTCATTTTAAACAATATCAGCTGACTCCTTATTATAGAAAACTAGAAGTTGCTTATATCACCCCAAACTGAGGTCCAGGAAGATCTGTACTGAGGCAATCTAGTCTTGTTCTCCTCTAACCAGTTATTACCTGTGTTATGCTAGTAATTCTACTGAGTTAACCCTAAAAGTTTAATACATTTAAAACTTCATTTTGTTTTATGGATTTTCTTGTAATTTTACTATCCACTTCTTCTCTTGCCTCATTTCTTCCACAGCAACTTTTCTTCTTCTGGGATGCTGGGGATTAACTCAGGGTCTTGCACATGCCAGAGTATTGAACCCCACATCTTGCATAAGTATTTTACTGCTGAGCTACAAGTCCCACATCAACTTTTTTTTTTTTTTTTTGGTACCGGGGATCGAACTCAGGTCCTTGCGCTTGCACAGCAGGCAGTGAAACCACTGAGCTAAATCCCCGGCCCACCACATCAACTTTTTAAAGAATATTCTTAACTTCGATATTGCCAAGGCTTATTACATAATTTTTCCATTTTCTAACTACTGGTTGATTATAAAAGCTGAAAACCAGTAAGTGGAGTTTGTATCTTATGTATTAATATTTTAGAGCTAAAACATATTAGAGATTCATCTTTCTATAACAGCCAATGTCACAATCCCAAATCATTAAAAGAACATTTCTAGAAGCTCAATCAAGTGGATTTTCATAAATTATCAGTTAATCAAATCATGACATATTTTATCTTGCTTCAACTTAATTTTAAGTTGATATAATATTAAAATCAACACCAGATATCTGAGTCTCTAAGGACTTCAGAAGTCCAGAAATATAGGTAGGTGTGGGAAACATTTGACAAAAATGCACGGACAGTCTTTAATTCCTAGTTTTTGTAAAAACGGCGTATAAGGCAAGATTAAATACTTTAGGCAATAATTTCAAGATCTTCTACATAAAATTTTCTCATTAGAAGATGCACTGATGATCGCTTCTCGGCCTTTTGGCTAAGATCAAGTGTAGAAGATGCACTGATGAAACTTAATTTCGAACACTTTAACTCCTCTGATTCAGCCTATAAGGTAGTATGACAATAAAAGAGCTTAACTCCGGACAATCAAATAAAGGAAGGAAGTTAGGTCTAGATTTTTTAACTAGTACTGAATACACTAGTCCTGAATAACATAGTGATATATATTCCACTTTAGGTTTCTACTTCTAGTCTATTACAATATATCATATAAAAACCTTTTATAAAGACCAAACTTACCTGATGTCCGATTTTCTTCAGATTGTTTCAAACTCAACTGCTTTTCTCTACTGCTGGTTAAATACTTTCTTGAGGGATCTGTCATAGTCTTGTTGTTCCTATCATTTTAAATAACAATTTTACATCACTGAAGAGATACTAAAAATCAACAGGATAACTTGTCAGGTGGAAGTCAGCTAACCTCTGTCCTCAGCCATTCTAATATTTCTATAAAGTGTCTATGAGTAAAACACGGTGGCAGAGACAGAAACTGTAGTATGGGTTTCCTTCCCTTCATGAACCTTTAGCTCCTGCTGCTGTGTTTTGTTTTGTTTTGTTTTGTTTTCTTTCTTTTTTGGTACTTGGAATCAAACCCAGGGCCTCTTGCTTGCTAGGCCAGCACGGCACCCAAGCCACACCCCTGGCCCCAGCTACTGCAGGTACTCTATGTCCCAACTGGTTAGCAGCAAAAGTGGATGAGAACATGATCCAGTACCATCCCCTGAGAAAATAAATTAGCCCCTTGAAAGTAAATGGTTTTGTCTGATTCCTTTCACTTTGAAGACCACAATTAATAGAGTAAGTATGTACTTGTCTTCTGTCCAGTGCCTTGGCCAAAATTATTATCTGAGAGCTCATAAGAATAACTAATTTTCACTAGGGATGTAGCTCAGCAGCACAGTGCCTGCCTGGCAAGCGGGAGTTCCTGAGTTTGATCCCCAGTACAAAAAACAAAACAAAACAAACAAAAAGAATAATTTTCTAACCTGAAAACTCATATATTTGAAAATTCATATTTTATTATTTAGGAACAACACTCTACAGAAAAGGAAGTAAAACAAGAGCAAATGACCACAGGATCCTCTGGTACTATCACATTTGATATTACCCTAAAGCGGCTAGCCTGATAAAGCATTGCAACAGCTCTTTTTTTTTTTTTTTGGTACTAGGGATTGAACATGGGTCCTTGCGCTTGCGCAGTACGCGTTGAAACCACTGAGCTAAATCCCTAGCCCATGCAACAGCTTTTTAATTTAAAAAAAAATTTTATTTTGGTACCACGGATCAAACTCGGGTCCTTGTGCTTACGAGGCAGGCGACAGAACCACTGAGCTAAATCCCCAGCTACAACAGGTTTCTTAAAAGTACTACACAGAGATGATCTTATTAACAATGAAATCTTATTAGGAATAAAATATAATATATACAGGTTGAGTATTCCTTATCCAAAATGCTTGAAATTGGAAGTGTTTCATATTTTGGAATGGTGACATACGTACTTAGGGATGGACACCAAGTTCTAAACACAAAATTCATATACACCTTGTGCACAGAGCCTGAACATAGTTTTATAAAATATTTTTAGTGTACCTGTGTTCTGACTGCCACTTGTCATAGAGTCAGATGTGGAATTTCCACTTTTAGCATCAGGTTAGGACTCAGAAAAGTTTCACATTTTGGAACATTTCAGATTTCAGATTTTTGTATTAAGGATGCTTAATTTGTATTTAAATCAACAAACCGTTACATTTATAGAGAATATATGGGTCCAGAAACCAAAGGAGCAGAAGTAGCAGTGGTCCCTTTCCCTATAACTCTTAATAACTCACTTGATGAATTTGTGTTTATCATTCCAATTTGGCTGCCATGGGGTGCTAGTTCCAAGATAAGAAAGTTTTTCACCAGGAGGCATAGTAAGAGAACAATTAAACCTAATGTCATGGCTCCTACCTCGTCACTTGTGGCTTCTCATGCTGGCAGACCAACAGACAAAGAAAGGAGTCACCATACTAGCATGGGTAAGTGAATATGATAAGGAAGAAAAACTGCTACTATACAATGAAGGCAGGGATCAACTGGAATAATGGAGATCTACTGGAGTACCTCTTAGTGCTCTCAAGCTTGTTCAACGTGGTTCTAATGTCACCTAAACTGGCAATTAGATCAACAGTGACCATGACCAGAGACTGAAATCCCTCAGACATGAAGACTTCAAACCAGGCAAACGGTCAAGACTGAAAGTGTTGGTAGAGGATTCAGGGAATACAGAAAGATATCAGAAGGGAAGGATGATATCAGCTATAGCCTCAGGGCCATGTGCAGCAATGCACTCTACCAGAAAGCAAGGCCAGGGGTCACATGGAATATAATAAGCAAGTGGGTTCCTTCCAGAGGACAGAATCAGAATGGTAGATGAGCTAACAGTAACTTATTCCACTACCTTCAAAGTTCTCACAACTTCTGTCTCACAAAATTTTATCACTACGAGTAGATACTGTTCCAGCTTCCTATTTTTGTCTTTTTTAAACAGAAGTTTTTAACTGTCATTACCCAGTTCCTACTCTAGCAATGTATAATGATGTGTGTATGACAATAGAATTGGAGAATGCAAATTAACTTGCCTACTAGTTTTTAGGTATTCGACCATAAGGGGCACAGTCCAAGAAACACCTGGACTTTATGGAGAAGGCTGCACATCACCCAGAGATCCTAGTCTCTGAGCTGGGTACAATACTTAATGAGACTTGGAGTTTGCTCCCATTAGCAATGGGGCTAAGGCTGTACTACATATGGGAAGAATGATAAATAAGGGTATGTTGATGGCCAGAGTGGCAAACTATGGCAGACTGTTACTTGTTCTCAAATAACCATTGCATCCTTGTACTGTAATAGTCAAGTTTTGGTTAGGCAAATTTCTTATAATACAGATATTCCTTATTTAATGACTGTTCAGACCTACAACCTTTTTTTGTACGATTCTGTAATCTTGTTTATAGAGCCTCAATGCCCTTTTCTGTACAGTACACCTGTCTATACAGTACTGTAACTTTTGCTGATTGTACACACACAGTACAGGGTGATTTGCACAGTACTGTAGTTTTATGAACTATTATACACTACAGTACTGCATGTAAAAGTTATACAAATAAAAGCAAAGTCATCAAATTGGAGTTTCCTTTGACTCTTTGTTCTGAATATTATAATGTACATACCACATACAATTTCTCATTTAGTGACCAATTCAATTAACCTAGATGCAGAAATGGCACTTGGTGTTAAGTGAAGAATGTCTGTATAATCATGTAATTAAGTTCTGGACAATGTGATATACACAAAAGTAGTGTGTACAATTTGCAGCCTAAAGGAAACAGTATGCCCTCCCTTCAGTCTTTCCCCCCTTTCTACTAATAGCAATGGAGGTATTAATTGAAGTAGCTAAGTAAGTCCAAAAAATTGTAGATTAACAAGACTCTGAGAATCTGAGTCTAAAGTGATTGTGATTTCAGATACCTATCCTATCAACTACCCAGCCTTTTACATCTGTCATAGAAGCACAACCAGTTAATATATGAAGTTCGTTTGGTTTTTTCCCAACTTGGTTCTGGCGATCTTTTCACCTCTGGTGAAAAGTTAACACCAGTTAACTAACAATGTCTGTTAAGGTATTAGCTGTTCACTATGTAGTATGTTTTCTCTCCACGAAAGCGAAAAAGAAAAAAAAGATCTTCACATGATAATGATGATGAGGATGATGAGTCAGTGACAACTCTACTGCACATCTATTCTCTTTTGTTCAACTCAAGAAATACTCCTTAGGGGCCGGGGATTTAGTTCAGTGGCACCACTCCTGCCTCACAAGCCCAAGTTCCATCCCCAGAAAAAACAAAAAACACTCCTTTGACTTTTTTGTTTTTGAGACAAGGTTTGGTTTTTTTAAGGCAAGGTCTCATTTGAATTTCAGGCTGGCCTCAAACTCACGGTGATCCTCCCGCCTCAGCTTCCCAACTGGTGGGATTACAGGCACACAACACAATGCCTGACAGGAAATACTCCTTTGAAAAATTAATACTCCTTGTCCAGTAGCTATGTAGGACTCACATTCTTTTCTCCCCAGGCTGACTTTCTATACCAGTAAAGTAAAAACACAGTAGTTAAGGGCAAAGGAAAGAAGGGTTCACATTAAAAGAGCAGCAAGAGGCCTGGGGATTTAGCTCAGTGGTTCCACCGCCTGCCTTACAAGCTCAAGGTCCCGAGTTTGATTCCCAGTACCAAAACAAACAGAAGAGCAGCAAGAAATATTTGTTTACCAAGTTTTTCAGTTCTATTCTTCTAAATATTGCATAATTTTTTTAAAAGGTGAGAAAGGAGAAGTGCAATGAAATGACAAAAGCATTAACAGTAGCCTAATTCCCTCCCTATTGAGCACAAAACCTACTGTCATCAAAATACTTTAAATTCTGCTCTATCTTTGGAATTCCCACCAACTGAACATTCCTCCCATAACCCCTAGTGCTTATGACTATCAGTAGGAGAAACACTAATCTAGTGACTTAAAGGCTCTTAAAGCAACTTACGATGAAGAATCATTTTCCTTAGGGTAATCTTCATTCAGCTCTGAGCCAGAAAGCATTCTTTTCCTCTTTTCAGTGCTACAGAGAAGAAAAGTTATTTTTCAAAAGTCATAATTCTGATACCATTAAAAATTATAAGCCAACATAATTAAGGATAGAAAATGTGACTACTGTTATTTAACTCTCTACATCATATTTAAATTAATATGCTGTACATCTGTAGGCTCAAGATGTGTCATTGACAAACTGCATGAGACAAATACTTGAAATTACCTATAAAAATCATTGTATACTTTCTCCTGTTTTTCCTCTTCAAATTTCTAAAAGGCCTAAAAGACATTTATAAAGTTACACTGCATGACTAAGTAAGAAATATCTTTCCTACCGGTTTTCTAATAATCCTGATCTAAGCGGTGTTGATGTAGCTGTCAAAGAAGGAATCGTCCGGGTAACAGTTATTCCACTTCCTGATACAGTCTTAATGGATCCTCTACCTGGATTACCAAGAACTTTTCGAAATGGAATATCATCTTTAGTTTCCAAACTTCCTCTTTTTGAAGAGGCCTGAAAGAATAAAGTTTGTAACAGTTAAATCTTCAAATTAATTGCAATACTTTTAAGATCAGTGATTCTCAAATGGGGAATTTTAACAAAACAAAAAACTAGAGACACTCATTTCTAGAGACTGTAGTCTAATTGGTCTTGGGTGACCCATTCATTTGTGTGTATAGAAACTTTTCTCTGGCAGCGGGGATCAAACCCAGGGCCTCTCGTATGTTAGGCAAATGCTCTACCACTGAGTTACACTCCGGCTCCTATAAATACATTATATATGTACGTATATATCTTTTGGTTTTATGAGACAAGGTCTCACTATGTAGTTCAGGCTGGCCTTGAAGTCACTATGTAGTCCAGGCTGTCCTAAAACTCATGGCAATCCTCCTGCCTCAGCCTTCCAAGTGCTGGGATTACAGGCATGTGCCACCCTGCCTGCCTACATATATATATTTAAAACCACTCTAGATGATTTGAATGCATAGCTAAGTGTGAGAAATTGAACTTGACACTTATTTTCCTATAGTATCCTTAAAATTTTAAAAATTCCATAGCACACCTGGAAGTAGAAGGCAAAAACTCTATTTTGAGTAATTAATTTTTTAAAAAGACAGTTCTAGAGATCAACATATAAACTCTGGGAAAAAAACATACAATGTTAAGAAGGAGTGACCAGGACTGAGTATACACAGTGTTAGAGTATACGTTTAACACCAGGTGTGGTTGTGCATGCTTGTAATCCCACCACTCAAGAGGCTGAGGCAGGAGGATCACCTTGAGTTCAAGGTCAACCTGAACTACATGGCAAGACCTGTCTCAAAAAATCAAAAATAAAACACTAGGTGGGGTGGCACACACTTATAATTCCAGCCCTTGGGAGGCTGAGGCAGGAGGACTGTGAGTTTGTGGTCATCTGGGTAACTTAGTAAGACCTTATTTCAAATGAAAAGGGCTGGGAATATAATTCAGTGGCTTGCATAGTACTGCCAAAACCAAAAAAAAATATTCTCTATGGAATGGAAGACACATCCAATTATTTATTATATCTTAAATTTAGAAAAAAACCCCAAAACCCTAAGTCACCTGGATGAATGGTTTAAAAAAGTAAAATGATTTTTAAATAGGTAATGTAGTTCAGTGGCAGAAAGCTTGCCTCTTGTGCACAAGGGCCTGGGTTTTATGTCTGGCACTGAAAAAAACAATCATTGTTCATAAATTAAATATTAAAAGCCACAGACTTCTGGGCATGGTGGTGCACACCGGTAATCCCAGCACTCAGGAGCTGAGGCAAGAGAACCGCTGCAAGTTCAAAGCCAACCTGGGCTACAAAGTGACTTCAAGGCCAGCTTGAACTTAGTGAGTTCTTGTCTCAAAAAACCAACCAACCAACCAATCAAACAAACGACAACTGCCACAGACTGAAAAGTTTCACCATCACTCCATCCACTCAATTCTCCCACTTTCCATTCTCCCACCTCATAGCCTTTTCGAGCTTTCTGTACAAAAATCAAAATTTATCCATAAAATGCACAAAATCATACATAATTTTCTATGCCTTTTTATTTAATACTAGTTACAGTCCATAAAACTGTGTATTTCCACAAATGGGAATTATTTGTGGAGGTACGTATATATTTGCATGAGCTATATATGTTAACATTTACGCATTTAAATAGTATTCTAACGTTTAAATTCTAACCTACAACTGTATGAATCTCAAAAAATTATGCTGGGTAAAAGAAGCCAGAGTCTCCCTTCTCCTAGAAAAAAAATATAAATTCTAAGTGTATAAAGTCCAAAAAGTGGGCCAGGGATGTAGCTCAGTGGCACCGTGCCTGCTTGGCAAGTGCAAGATCCTAAGTTCAATCCCTGGTACCAAAACCAAAAAAAAACAAAACCCAAAACCAAAACCAAAAAAAACTCCAAAAAGTACAACCTAATCTAGGGTAACAGAAGCAAATCTGTGGTTGTTTCCAGATAGGGATGGGGTAGGGAGATTACACAGGAGGATGAGGAAACATAAGGGTTATGGTTAAGTTCATTTACTGTTTATGGTAATGATTTTAGGAGTGAAAACAGAAGTCAACATGCACTAGACATTGAATATGTACAATTAACTCTATACCAATTAGGTATCAATAAAAATGTTTCCCAAAAAATCTAATCTATGAAAAGAACCTAACAAAAGTTCAATCTTATTTATTGCTTAGTCCAGTATATGGACTAAGCAATGACCTCTCTACACTGCCAAATACAACTAATAAATTTACTTACAGAAAAACTTCAAAGTTTCTCTGACTTTATGCCTAGCTTCCCTTTGTAAAATATTTAATATGAGACATAAGACCTGCTAAGTTGCAGTAAAATTATTTATTGGTATACAGCAAGTCTCACAGCTGGCTGAGTCATATTCATAAAAGAAAAACTATTTAAAAAAAGATGTCATGGGACCGGAGATTTAGCTCAGTGGTTCTGCCACCTGCCTCACAAGTGCAAGGTCCCAAGTTCAATCTCCGGTACCAAAAAAAAAGAACAGATGTCATGAACTTAGGGGCCGGGGATTTAGCTCAGTGGTTCTGCCACCTGCCTCACAAGTGCAAGGTCCCAAGTTCAATCTCCGGTACCAAAAAAAAAGAACAGATGTCATGTACATGTACAAATTCCCTATAGTGAATATAATCATTATGTATCGCAAGCATGTACTAATAAAAAGAAATTTAAAAAGTAAAAACAGCCAGGCATGCTGGTCCATGTCTGTAATCCCAGCACCCGGGAGGCTGAGGCAGGAGGATTGCCACAAGTTCAAGGCCAGCCTGGACTACACAGCAAGATCATGTCTCAAAAAATAAATAACTTTTTAAAACAAGAATGAATGAATAAAATACAAACAAAACATCTCAACAAAACATATACTGTAAAGGCAAAATTCAAGTCAGGTGTGGTGGTGCACATCTGTAACCCAGCCCTTGGGAGGCCAAGGTAGGAGGACTGCTGCAAGTTTGAGGCTAGCCTGGGCTACATAGTGAGTTCAAGGCCAGTCTGGACTACACAGCAAGATCCTGTCTTAAAAAACAAACAAACATGGGGCCGGGGATTTAGCTCAGTGGTTCCACCACCTGCTTTGTAAGCGCAAGGACCCGAGTTCGATCCCCGGTACCCAAAAACAAACAAACAGGCTAAATTCATAATGTAGAACAGACCTAAAGAGTATAAAGATACTATGCATAATGTAGAACATTCATAATGTAGAACAGACCTAGAGTATAAAGATACTATGCGTAACACTTACAGGGCTGTGAGTAGGTGGTATGCTATAAATTGAGCTAAATACCTTTACATGGACTATCTCACAGTAACCTTTAAAATATTATTGCTGTCTCAAATTTTTTTTTTTTTGGTACTGGGGATCGAACTTGGGTCCTTGCGCTTACGCAGCAGGAGGCAAAACCACTGAGCTAAATCCCCGGCCCCTGCTGTCTCAATTTTATAGATAGGTACTAAGACTCCAGATACTTAAGAAATTTCCCCAATGATCCACAGCTAGCAAGTGGCAGCACCACACTTAAGCCCACACCCAATTCTAAAGCCATTCATTCATTCATTCATTCACAGAGTCTTCCCATGTACTTTTGGCTGGCCTTGAACTCACTGTGTAGACCAGGCTGGCCTTGAACTCAAGGTGATCCTCCTGCCTCAGCCACCAGAGTGGTGGGATTAAAGGCAAGTGCCACCATGCACAGCAAAAGCTACGCTTTTAAAAACTACAGTGTGCTGTGGTTAATAATGTTTACCATGAGCTATTAAGCAAAAGTTGTTTAGTAAAATTATATGTAGGAAGAGATGTGGAAAAATTTTCATGAAAATAGTTCAACAAATCAAGAAAGCCAAAATGGTAAATCCCAACTATGCGGAAAATACCCTGGTGCAATGCCAGAAATGTTATGTAGTACAGGCTAAATTCTACTCTGCAACTACCCAGTACGCCTATCTATAACTAACATTTTTTTAAAAAGCTAAAAAGATTCAAGCAAACATACCTGATTATCCGAGTAAGAAAGTTGCCTGTTGGTTTCCTTCTGTGAGACCCTGCTACCCAAAACGGCTCCAAAACTACCAGAACCCTGAGGTTTCATGGCTGGTGACCAAAAAAAAAAAACAACATCAAAACAAAAACCAAATCACAGACTTTAAAACATCAGGGAAGAGATAACCAAGTTTTTCTGATAGAATGTACATCTCTATGACATACAGTAATAAAAACATAAGAGCTAAAATCTCAAGCAAAAAGAACATGGGATGCATAAAATCTACAAACCAAAAGGAAAATGATAAAAATTTTATAGAATAATTGGTACTTAGCACTATAGTAGAGTTAGTCACTATGTATCTAGAGTAGTGATGGCGAACCTTTTAGAACTTTCAATCACACAAACGGCCTGCTGAGGCATGTGTGCCACAGGTTCAAAACCTCTGGTCTAGAACATGAACACCAACACTGGATCCCAAGGAAACATGTCAGAAAAGATGACAGGTACACCTCCAACAACACATACTCCAAAGCATCCTCTACAAGTCAATGTATATTAATCACAATGTAAAAGTATTGAAACATGATGTGGTATCCCATAAATATGTACAATTTTTATCAGTTAAAAATAAATTTAGTTAAAAGATATAATTCACACATAAGGTATTCTGAAGGGAAGAAGGCTATTTCTTCTTCAGCAGAAAAAATA